CGCTGAGGTCGGAGATGAGCATGACGCCGATGGATGAACGGAGGGGATGGAGTCTTCCAGTTTGAATTTTCGCTATTAGCTCCATTTTTGTGAAATACAGTAATTTCGATTCAGCCAGAAAATCACCTCATCCTAGCACAAAAAAGTCTTAACAAAATGCTTTTCAAAATTGACCAGTTTCCATTGACGTGTTTCCGTTAAATGAATTGCGGAAATTCCGATTTGTGCAATTTAGAGGTCAAGGGAAACACAGCTAGGTACTCTGGTTGGACAGCCAAGTCACAAATAAAGATGATAACTCATATTCAAAAATACTGCAGCCTCTGCGAACCTGTGCGCCTTTTGTTGACCAAGAATATACAGTCTCACTCTCACTAAGTATAAACACATTTTGATTACACACACACACCCTTCTTAAATTGATTTTAAAGCTGCTTCATACACTTTAATGAGCTTAGTGTCTCCTAGATTGTGAATTATCCATCCTGGACAACCCAAACTCAACCTTAATGATGGCCTTTGGCAAACATTGTGACAGAATTAGTAGGGTTAGAAGATATTTTAAGGATTAGGGTAAGTGTGCAGATAGAAACTCTACTGTCTTCTTTTACCATCTACAGAAGTAAAATTTATCCCGATCTGAGGTACATGCCGGCTGATTTCCTCTTGATTTGTGAATGCCTCTCATATTGTATGTTTTTAGTCAGCCTGATGGATTCCTGTCCTGGAGCATAGTGTACCCTTCAGGTACTTGCTAAACACGCAGCTGATAGCAGGTTTCTGTGATGACTTGAGCATGTTCAGGCACATTACAAAGAAAACACCTTGACTTGGAAATTTGTAGCACTCTAGCTGTCAGGCTGGAAGTATGGCGGTCTGGGAATTCCTTCTTGATGTGTCTTTGTCTTTTGGATTTTTTTTTCACTCCCTCAGGGTCTTGTTCCCAGTCAGAACCAAGGTTACACTGGATTCCTGTTCTTAGGAATCTCTTACCTTTAAACATGTGAACATCAGGTGATTTTAAAACAGTTGTATTTTTGTGTTGTGGTAAGTTTTAGAGCTTTTTTTTTTTACCCACGAGCACCTGAAAAGGAATGTGTGAGATCCATTTTGGGTAATTACACTGAACTTTTTGTTTCACAGTGGAGGGTCTGCGAGAGGAGGAGATGATCCGCAGCGGTAGCCGTGAGAACCGTAGGAAGTTGATCCCAGGTGGGTCGGGCTCAGGGGACCTGGACGATTCGACAGCTGTTCTGCTGGACCTGCCAACAGTTCTGTTTCCAGACCCCACTCTCACCACTGCTGCCACCATCACAACTGCAGGTGCTATATGCTAGCAGTTTAAAATAATACTTTGATGAACCCAAGGACTCATGTCAGAGTAAAATGATTAGAGAACTAACAACATGAGACAAGTCAAAGATTTTAATATAACTTCTGCAACAAGACTTGTGGGAAGATTCAAAGGTAGAAATTAATTGACAAGTTGTTTCAATTTGATTTAGTTTTTTTTTTCCCCAAGCCTTCCTTATCATAACTAAACATAAGGTTACATGAACACAAAGAAAGAAAAAAAAGAGGCAAACACATACAACATGTAAATAACTCAAAATACAATAAAAGCAGTACAGGGTCACACAAATTCTGGACAGTTCAACACAATGAATTTTTTCCATTTAATTCAGATCTTTTCACAAAAAGTACTAACATTTCTGATGGTGGAGATTAGATGTTTCTGGTAGACATTCTCCATGTGGTTTTAGCTAAGAGGCTCTTGCATGGAAACTTGTGGGATCTTTCAAAAGTGACTGATAAAAACATGTACTGTTAAGACTGCACCAAGTGAGAGATGTGAAAGATATAAATCCATCAAACAAGAAGAGATTTTGTATTTCTGTTTTTGTAAATGACAAATAAGCCATAAATACTGCTTATCTTAAGAGAAAATGTTTATTTATTAAAAGCAAACTTAGTTTTTTTTCCCTCACTTTTCCCTTTGATGTTTTTCCTGTATTACCCCAGCTTCTCTGGGAACAACCTTGTCTTATCTTACTTTAACCCCACCCATGTATTTGCCATTACCTCTGGTCCCCAGAGCCCTCAGCCACAGAAAGCGCTTCCGAATACCCTGATGAGCCCCCTGAGAAAAGCACCAGAGAGAAGAGGAAGAGGAAGAAAGACAAGGAGCGGCATAGTTCCACGGTGGAAAACAAGGAGGAGCATGGGATGAAACAGGGTAAAATACCAGCTGCCAAAATCACAGAAAGACACAAATTTCTGCAGAGAAAATTAAAGGAAAAATTGTGGGAGAATTTTATTGTTCATCTTAAGATTAAGATTAAATTATTGCAGTAATATTATGAGATTAAAGTCATAACATTGCAAGAAAAAAGTCATAATTTCACGAGAATAAAATCATAATATAGCGACAATAAAGTCGAAATATTTGGAGAAGAAAGTCAAAATAATATGAGAATAAAGTCATCATAATGATTATAGGGTCATATTACAAAAATAGACTCATACAAGAATAAAGTCACAATATCATGAGAATAGTCACAATGTTATTAGAATAAACTCAAAGTGTTATGAAAATAAAGTTTTAATATGACAAGATCAAAGTCATACGAATATAGGGTTAAGCTTAAGTCGAAATATGAGAATATAGCTGTAACAATGTGAGAATAAAGTTCTAATATTACAAGAATAAAGTCATAATATTACAAGAACTAAGTCATTGTACTATAACAATAAAGTCATAATATTATGAGAATAAAGTTGTAATAATATGAGAATGAAGTCATATAATTTCAAGAATAGTCATATTATTGCCAGAATAAAGTTGTAATATTATGACTTTGTTCTGGCAATATTATAACTGTTCTCATTATTTTAATTATTTTTCTTTTATTAGCATGGCCCTAAAACACAGCCGTACTGACAAGCAAAAGTTATTCTAAACAATTTTAAGCTTAGCAGCAAACCTTTGCATGAAATATGTCTAAAAATACACGCTAGAAAAACATAATATTTCAGAGCAGTAAGTGCTGGTTCGGAGCATGATGACAGTGTTCACTGATAAGTGATAATGACAGGCTGTCCTGTGTAGCTGCAGGATACACGTGTCCTCTGTCTCCTCATTGTGAAGCAGAAGACAATTAACAAATGGCTTTCAAGATTTTTACAAGTAGAAATCTGAAAAGTGTGGGGTGGATTTGCATTCAACCATTTAATTTAATACTATATATATATATATATATATATATATATATATATATATAT